GAGCCAAGATCAAGCCACTGCACTCCAGCCTGCCTGATGAGTGAGACTTTGTCTCAAAAAAAAAAAAAAAAGTCATTTTAATAGTTGCATTATAGTATAGGTTACAGTTAAATTTTTTTTAGACAAGATCTGCCTCTACCACAAGGCTGGAGTGCAGTGGCACGATCTTGGCTCACTGCAACATCTACCTCCCAGACTCAAGCCATCCTCCCACCTCAGCCTCCCAAGAAGCTGGGACCTCAGGCACGTGCCACCGTGCCTGGCTAATTTTTGTATATTTTGTAGGTGGGGTTCCACCATGTTGCCCAGGCTGGTCTTGAACTTGTGTGCTCAAGCGATCTGCCTGCTTCTGCCTCCCAACGTGCTGAGATTACAGGCATTAGCCACCACACCTGGCCTAGGTTACATTTTAATTTTTGAGATAACTGTAGATTTACATGCAGTTTAAGGACCAGTACAGAGAGATCCCGTATCCCTTCCACCCAGTTTCCCCCAGTGGTAACATCTTGCGTAACTACAGTACAATATCACAATCAGAAAGTTGGCATTGATACAACCCACCGACCTCACTCAGATTTCACCATTCTAACATGCACTCATGGGCATGTGTGTGTATATTTAGTTCTATGCAACCTTGCCACAGGCATATTATGTGACCACCACTATAGTCAAAATACAGAACAGTTCATCACAAAGATCACTAGAGGCGTCCCTGTCTCGCGCCTTCTCCCCTCCCTAAGCCCTGGCAACCATTCCTCTGTTCTCCATCTGTATAATCTTGGCATGTCAAGGATGTTAGAGAAATGGAATTGGCCAGCCACTGTGGCCATGCCTGTAATTCCAACACTTTGAGGGGCCGAGGCGGGAGGATCGCTTGAGCCCAGGAGTTTCACCAGCCTGGGCAACATGATGAAACCCTGTGTCTACAAAAAATACAAAAATTATCCAGGCGTGCCCATGTGCCTGTAGTCTCAGCTACTTGGGAGGCTGAAGTGGGAGGATCACTTGATCCTAGGAGGCAGAGGCTGCAGTGAGCCATGATAGCGTCACTGCACTCCAGCCTCAGTGACAGAGCAAGACCCTGCCTCAAAAGCAAGGAAGTGGAGGGGAGGGGAGGGAAGGCAAGGGAAGGGCAGGAAAGGAAGAAAAGGAGAGAGAAAGGGAATCATTCAGTGTGTAACCTTCTGAGATTGGCTTTTTTCACTCCATGTGATTCTCTTGAGATCCATCCTGGTTGGTGCGTCTATCCATAGTTCCTTTGGATTGTGGAGCAGCATGCCGTGGTACAGGTGTACTGCAGTTTGTTTAACCATTCAGGCTGAAGGACATTTGGGTCATTTCCAGTTTTTAAGAATAAAGCTATTAAGAATAAAGCTGGGTCAGGTGCAGTAGCTCATGCCTGTAATCTCAGCACTTTGGGAGGCTGAAGCAGGAGGACCTCTTGAACCCAGGAGTTCAAGGCCAGCCTGGACAACATAGAGAGACCCTGTCTCCACACACAAAAAAATTTAGCTGGGTTTGGTGGCAGAGGCCTGTGGTCCTAGCTGCTTGGGAGGCTAAGGCTGGACCCCAGGAAGCTGTCATCATATCGCTGCACTGCAGCCTGGGCGACAGAGCGAGACCCTGCCTTTAAAATATATGCATACATATATAACAATATATCAATATAAATAAATTATATATATAATGATGCCATAAATATTCATGTGCTACTTTCTGTGGGAACCTACACCTTCATTTCTTTGGGATAAATGGCCAAGAGTGCAATTGTTGGACTTTATGGTAAGTGACATTTCGTCTCTAAAGAAACTGTCAGCTGGGCACAGTAGCTTATGCCAGTAATCCCAGCACTTGGGGAGGCGGAGGCGGGCAGATCACCTGAGGTCAGGAGTTCGAGACAAGCCTGGCTAACATGGTGAAACTCCATCTCTACTAAAAATACAAAAATTAGCCTGGTGCGGTGACGCACGTCTGTAGTCCCAGCTACTATACTTGGGAGACGGAGGCAGGAGAATTGCTTGAATCCAAGAGGCAGAGGTTACAGTAAGCTGAGATCTCGCCACTGCACTCCAGCCTGAGTGACAGAGAGAGACTCAGTCTCGAAAAAAAAGAAAAAAATTAAATAATAAATAAAAGTCTCATATTCTTTGGCCTAGGGGCCGCACATTTTACATTTCTACCAGCAACAAATGAACGATCCAGGGTTTCTGCATCTTCACTGTCATCACTATTTTTTAAATTAAATTTTATTTTATTTTATTTTATTTGGGACAGAGTCTTACTCTGTTGAGATCTCAGCTCACTGCAACCTCCGCCTCCCAGGTTCAAGAGATCCTCCTGCCTCAGCCTCCTGAGTAGCTGGGACTACAGGCATGTGCCACCATGCCCAGCTAATTTTTGTATTTTTTTTTTAGTAGAGATGGGGTTTCATTATGTTGGCCAGGGTGATCTTGATCTCTTGACCTCGTGACCTGCCCACCTTGGTTTCCTAAAGTGCTAGGATTACAGGTGAGAGCCACTGCGCCCAGCCCACTTTTTTTTTTTTTTTAAGTCATTCTGATAGGTGTGTAGTGATAGCACATTGTGGTTTTATTTTGCATTTCTTTAAAGGCTAATGAAGTTGAACATCTTTTCCTGTGCTTGTTTGCCATCTGTATATTCTCCTCGGTAAAATATCTGTTCAGTTCAGTGAAATGCCTCTTGCCTATGTCTTAACTGGATTGTTTTTAACCGTTGAGTAAAAAAAATGTTTTTTCAGAGCCAGAGTCTCACTCTGTTGCCGGGGTAAAGGGCTCCAGCGATCCTCCCACCTCAGCCTCCTGCGTAGCTGCGACTACAGATGTGCACCAACGTGCTAGGCTAGTTTTTGAATTGTTGTTTTTAGAGATGGAGTCTTACTACATTTCCAGGCTGGTCCTCATCTCCTGGCCTCAGGAGAGCCTCCTACCTTGGCCTGCTTCTACTTCCGTCTCCCAAAGTGTCTGGATTACAGGCATTAGCTGCCATGCCTGGCCAAGAGTTCTTCATATATTCTAGATATATATCTGGATATTGTAGGTAGTTCTTAGTTGGGTATTTTATCCCAGTCTGTAGCTTGTCTTTATATCCTTTTCACCTCGTTTTTTGCAAAGCAAAGTTTTCCATCTTGATGAGGTTCAATTTTTGCATTTTCCTTGTAGGGGTTGTGCTTTTGATGTCAAGTGTAAGGTGGGATTTGAACTCAGGCCATCTGGGTGAGGAGTTCACCTT